TATTTATTTATTTATTTATTTATTTATTATAATTTTTTCACAATTATAAAATGTCAAAAAAGCACTGTTTTATTTTCAGGAGAAAGTAAAGGAAACAGCTTTAAAGAGTGAAAAAATTCACGGAATTTTACACAACACAAATGCATTTATGTCTGTGCTTTCTTCATACAGCCAAATTGCAAATGATATAAAACAAACGCTTGATCGAATGGCTGAGAAATGGATTTATGAGCAGAAGTTTACTTTTTGTACAGTTTTTCAGATTTTTGACATCTGGATAAAATTTGAAGCAATACTTTATGTGAATAAATGTATGAGAAATTGTTTGTAAAATTATATAAAACATTTAAAAATCATCAGTTCATCTACTATTAAGCACTGTAGTGATTTTAGAATAAAGTAAAAATGCATTGAGCATTTCTCAAAATCAAACTTCAAAACGCTTTTACTGAATGAGTAATCATGCAAGCAATTATTTTCTGGTTTTTACTGCTTCATTCAAAATTTAACAAAACATATCCTAAAATTTTTTGTACAAATTATGAAAAATTTACAATATAATAAGCTAAAAAACTAACATTTAAGAAAATTTGCTACTGAACTTGGAAATGAATATATGGTATTGCTGGATGAAATTGAAGATAATTATGAATTGATTGCAGAATCTATCTTTGTTGCTTACGACCTAATTTTACAGGTTTTTTTCCACCAAATTTTCTATACTACTGCATAATTTATTTTTTTTGAGATTACTTTTTTTTTGCTCATCAAGTTTCTATGCAAATTTTTAATAATTTTTTAAACATAATAAATTTTTGAAGTGGTAAATGAGAAATTGGTTTACAAAAATAATTTAAAATCCATATTATAGGAGGCAGAACAGTTTGTTAAGACTACTTCAAGTCATAATTTTAGCAAGTTATTATGTCCATTAGAAAGCAGTGATATAATGCAAGTAATTACTGCTGCTTTACAATCATCTACACATATAATTCATCATTTTTGCAATGAGGTTTTGTTATTATTTGATCATTATTACTTTTATTGCAGTCAAAACAAAAATTCGAAAATGAAAATGGTTCAAATTTGAAAGTTAAAATTAAAACAAAGTTTGGTTTATTAAAGAAATACTTTGCTTAGAAAGGCAACAAAGTAATTAATTTGCAAAGAAAAAAAAATGAAATGTAATCTTTGTGAGGATATAATAAATTGACTTTTCCAACCTTTATTCTACAATTTACTTTCTGAAAATGAACAAATTTTAGTCATTTTCAGCATAAATTTATATTACTTTAATTAACTGATTAACTGTTATTAAGATGAATAAGCTGCAGCAAAACGCAATAATGGTTCTCAATTATGTGAGAGATGTTTTGAAGCTGAATGACTTGCAAAGTAATAGTTTGATTTAATAATTAATTAAAAAATATCTTACCAAATCAAAATTTTTCTGCAGAAAAGTTATTATCAAAATTTATTCATAATTTTATCATCATTTTCTGAAATTAGGACCTGATTTTAATGGCAATCACCATGCTTATACCAAGTAGGGAATAAATGAAATTTAGTTGAGAAACCTTGAATTTAGTTACTAGATATACTGCCAATAATTCTGTAAAAAGTAAATGTTAAATAAAAATTTTATTTTCAGCATCGAACAAATGTTAAGATTGTTAGTATTACATATCAGACTCTAGTAAACTAAACAGTAGCTAAAATCATGGACATCTTATATTTCTCAAACTTTGATGGAGACTAATCTTGAAGTTATCAAATGAATTATTACAGAAGCACTGGAAGAATATAAGAAAAACCTGGAACGTGTAGATATCATTCATACCTTACTTCATAGAACTAGGAAATTAAGTCAGAAATATCAGTTGTCTGAAGTAGAAGATTCAATCGTTGATTTTGAAAGAAGCCGTCGAGAGTACGAAACAAGTTTGCTCGAAACATATAAACGCGTCAGTTCATTTGTATTTTTTTTCTTGCAGATTCTATGTTTTGAAAGAACTAAAAAAAATTAGCTTTCATCAAATTAACGTAGTGAGTGCTCTCAGGTGTTCTATGAAAGAATTGAAATTCAACTTTGAACTCTTAACATATCCATAACTGCAATATTAACTTTCTTTAAAGTCAGTCGAGGTTTACAATATATTTGACCTGAAACAAAAAACATTATTTATATTGATCAGTTAGTAACTGAAAACTGTAAAAAATCTTAAATTTACAACTATCACTGTACTTTGAATTAGAGATTGACAATAACCTATACTTATGGCTACATAGAATATTATTGGTTGTACAAAACTGGAACTGCCTTAAAAATAATCGTCTAATATACTTACAACTGTAATCATGTGAACCTTTGACAAATTATTGACAACCTTACAATGTAGGATACAGAAGGCAATTTTAGCTCATAATCTCACTTAATCAATTTAATGGTCATTTTTGTCTTGACCATATAGTTTAGATATCCAAAAATTGTTTAAATGGATGCAAATTGAGATTAAAACATGATTATACATAAATCTTTCTCACTTATTTCAAGATTTAAATCATTGATGTCATCTCTAACAAATTTGTTCATTTTCCTTGCTGTTTTTAAAAAAGTCATTTGGAATAATTTGCAATAGTTTTGAACAAAATGATGATCTTAACACAGAACAAGAAGTGAACTTTGGATGTATTGTTTTCGAATGTGGTAATTCTTATTTGATGAGTATATTTACAGATTAGAAATTTCTTACTTGACAAAATTGTGGTATTTACTCTTACCAAAATGACAAGTACTATTCTCAACCCAGCAGTTAATGCCATTGCGCGGGAAAAATTGCAAGATATTGTCAAGTTTTTGAGTGGAAGAATTACAACTAATGATTTATCCGAACAAATATGGAAAAAATATATACCAAAAGTTAAGGTCTGCTGCATTGTATTTGTTATCAAAAGTTATTTTACAGTAAGAAGAAATGTGATCTTAAGAATTGATCTAATTCAATGAAACAGCTAGTGCTTAATAAATAAAATTTTGATAAAATTTGCATGAAGAAATTAAGTTATTTTATTTGTTTATTTATTTATTCATGTATTTATCCAATTTTAATAAATTTATATTTGTAATTAACATATAAGTTTGTATTCACAGCTCATTCAAATTTGCTTGGGAAAATTGGCTTATTTTATTTGTTTTTAATTTTTATTTGTAGCGTTTTCCGATGGGAGAAAACGAATTTGAAATGGTATTACCGATGGATTTCACATCTCTAACAGATTTATTCAATGCTCTACATCCCCATAATTTGCTTGCTTTGCACTCATCAGCAATGGAGTTCTTTGGCTTAGGCGCACATCACGTCAATTCTTCCTTCAATAGCATCATATAATTTGAAATCATTTGGGATTGCAGATGACTGAATTGTTTCTATATGATTTTTTTTTCAGGATCTTCCAGAATCTTTGATGAATACAATTTATACATATGAATCAACGAAATTTGTTTTGGATAAAATGTTGCCACCATTTGAAAGTAATATTGCACTTTGTCAAGTAAAATACATTTAATTACAGTTCTTAAAAATAGACAAAAATTTTCAAACATAATACTTGGATGTTTTTTAAAATATTTTATACAATTTTCGATTTGTAATTTAGGTATTGCTTACGTGATCGGCGATAATCATTTCATTACATTCGATGGAAGAGTATTTACATTTAAAGCACGATGCGAATACCTTCTTGCATCAGATTTTCGTACACAAAGTTTTGCGCTACTTGCGTTATTTTCTTCTTATGGACGTGTTGAAGCTATTAAAGCCGAATTGCGTCAAAACGAAATAATTTTATATAGAAATGGCAATGTAATTTGTTTAATTTTTTTTGGCAAAAAAGTTTCTGTTTTATTGATTTATTTTTGTGAAAACAAAAATATAAAATGATGAAAAGCACAGCAAAGTATTGAAGAGAATAATAATTTTTCTTATAAATTAGTTCATTTTGTAAGCATACAAAATTCTATTTCTTTACTGCTTTCATACTGGTATGTAATCAATTTTTGTAGGTCCGTTTTATGAAAAAGTTCTGAAAATATATATGTCGAGAATATATTTATTTAATCTGATAGATTTCTGGTATCCAACCATGTTCAATGTATGATATTTAGGTACAATTTAATCGTGCTACAGTACAAATTCCGTGGCAAATTATCGATAACATGGATGGAGCAAGTTTAATTTCTGTTCACAGAGAAGAACATTGGATTATTTTGTCAACCTACGATGGTGTACAGATAAAATGCAGCCTTGCGTATGATATATGCAAAATCGTTTTACCAGGTCACTTTCATGGAAGAAGCAGAGGTCTTCTCGGAATAAATGATAACGAACCATCAAATGATCATAACCTAGCTAATGGCACTTTTAATGACGAGGTAAAATAGAGTCTATCTAATAAACTTGTACTAATTTTATGCTTGAAAATATTACATGGCCAGAGTAATTTTTTCATCTGATAGTCCAAAAAAATGCTCACTTCTTAATCATAAATTGTATGACAGATTTACTGAATAATATAAATACTCGTTGAAAATGATGAGAATTTTTGATATAAATTTTGAAACTTGTTAACATACAGCTTCCTCCTTAAATAAATCGTCAATTTTGTTACATAATATTTAAAATGATTAATATAAATACTGATAAGCTAAATGTGCTGGCGAAAGACTGGGCAATAACAGGCATGTGTCAAGAAAACGAAGCCCAGATTTTGACTTTTCGAGAAGACCACACCTGCCAAAAATATTTCCATAGGTCTAGCAGTCCACTGCAGTACTGCTTTAATCAGGTAACATAATTTGATATGCTGAAATTTTAAAAATCACATTGATAAGATTTTCATTGTAAGTGAAAATTGAAAAAGAATAATTCTAAAATATGCATATGCTAACAATGCTTGCAAAAGTATTTATTACTTTTAATTTCAAATTTCATTAAATTTCAAAAATTATTATTTAGAAATTATTCGCTGCATAAACAAGAATTTTAAAGGTCAAACCTAAGCCATTTGAAGAAATATGTTCCAAAGGTAGTAAACAACAGCACTGCACGGTTGCTTCAGCATACCTTGAAATATGTTCCAATTTCAAGATCTTTACAGCATTACCTGAAGAATGTGGTAAAAGTTCATTTTTGCACCAAAAAAAATTTCCCTCTTAAACCAAATCCAAATCCAAATTTCTTTTCGGTACTCAAAAATATTCCAGCCTTTTCAACACTTTCTACTCTCAAGAGTATTTTCAGATTTCCTCGCATTGTAAGTCAGTAAATCTGTTCTTCAAATTCTCTAATCACTTACCTTCCATGTATGAAAGAAAATCTTTACTCAAATTTTGTCTTTATTTATACTTTAACGAAGTGAATTTGTTTGACCTAATGCATTTCAATTACATTATTTTATTAGTTCTACAGCACTCATTTTGAGTCCTTATCATTTTTAATGTAGTCAGTTCGTAAGGTTTTTAATTCCAGCACTTTTTCAGAAAATATCATCAATCTCATATTTTGTAGGCAAATGTTCAAATGATATGTTCATAGACGATACAAAGTTGATCGAGCAAACCTCACCAACAGTGCATGACATAGTTTTTATCATTGAAGAGAGAATGTGCATGGAAAATCACAAAAATAAATTAGCTCAAATAGTACAGCAAATTGAATCCGCAGATCAACGGTATCAAATTTATTTCGAAGACATTGTTATTTCAAATTTGATTAGTTGGCATAACTACCCAAAGGTAGATAAATCATCTCAAATATTAGAACAAAGTGTTATACAGATCTAAACGAATTTTTTAAAATTTAGTTTCTGACTTCGTCCACATTTATAGTGCATTATAAGAATTTGCGTTATCATTAATCTCATAATTCTTAATCGTTGAATTTTTTAAGAGTATTTGAAATGAAGGGGAAGATTTTAACGAGATACATATCAAACCATATTGATGAAATTAAAACTTTAGTGCTGCGCGGGAGTCTTAGAACTTAAATGTCTCGATCGCTTACTCAGTTATTCATCAAAAAATCTGAAGAAAAGTTCAAATTTCGAAACAAAATATTGCTTGCAGATGGGCACGATTCGGTTGGGTCGGCTTCGGGGGTGAGGGTATTCATAATAAACCACACATACATTATGATCACAATGAAGCCTTGCTAAATTTTTCATCTTTCGTACGACAAACACGACAATCTTTTGAAATTGTATCAGCAATTGAGCCAAATCACGGCAATCCCGCAGATGCGATAAAATTTGCAATTAGAAAATTTCCATTTCGGCATGTTTTGTATCTAGGACTTGAAATCATTTAATAGTACACTACAAAAAACTTACTGTTTTGAAAGAAATAATTGCCACATGTAATTGTTGCATCAAACTACTGAACTGCTATACTTAATTCAAATATCAAACGGAAGACATACATTTGAAATATCAGTAATATCCGAATTTAGATTTGCTTCCGTTAAAACCATTGTTTTGGTTCCGTGTAGAAAATGCATCTTCCAAAACTACGCTGAATTAGTGGATGAACTGCTGGAGCGGGTAAACCTAACTTTCTTCACAATACAGTTTTTGGAATAATGCAATGATTTCGAAAATTTGAACATACAACAGATTTATTCCTAAATAATAATAATCAAAAGAATATAACTAGAAGTATTTTCGGTATATTACATCTATCATTTTGAAACTGAAATTGCAGCAAATTTTTGTAAAAAATTGTTCCTTATCAACGACTACATTTCAGAATATTATCATGCATCTATTAACAACACATAAGCTCAAAACATCAAACGGAAGAACAATTGCTGGTGAGCCAAAAACTTATAAGTAATCAAAAACATATGATTTATGTCTTGTTGAAGTCATTCACCTTACAGACTGATAATTTTTACTGCTGATATTACATACCAAAAATTAAGTGTGCAGTTGAATAAAGTTTCAGTGAAGAAAATGAGCAGAAATTTATCAAATCTTAATGAAAATTTTTACTGAGTCAGTATGGCTAAATGTGCTTCATTTCCCATGTTAAATTGCATTTATTCTCAACTTAGAAAATAATCTTAGGCAAAAAGCAAAATTTTAGCAACTTCCTAATGATTTTATATTTTTAGTCATTTTGTCAAAAGCATTCTCGCATTTCTTGCAAATAACAAACATTATAATTTACTTGGTATAGACATTAATTAATATGAAAGTATATAGTTTCAGTTAAATAAGAAAAAAAGTACTTCTAAGCTTTAAATTGTTCAAGTTTATCAACAACAAAAAAATGCAGAAATGGATGCAAAACAATTAGTGGACGAACACGGAACTCCAATTACAATACATAGGCCTTTGCTGTCTTCAAATGATGTATGTTCCTTGGTGGCACAACAGTCATATGGAAAAGTTCTTTCGATTGTAAGAGCATTTATTTCAGTGGAATTTTTCTAAATTACTTCCAAATAACATTACATTTTTCGTTTTACAGCGATTCATAAAACTGTTCTCGAAAATTTCACAAAACATCGTCATTTCTAGCTAACTTCTTGTTAAAAAAATACTTAAATTAAATACAATACATAAATTAACGATTAAAATTTTATGATAGTGTATTTACATGAACTAAATAGTCCTATTTATTCAATTATTCCATTGTTTTCTATTTTAAAAAAATTCTAATCGAATTTAAGACATTCCTCTCAGTCAAATTCAGATGACTCCTGGTTTTCACAAGCTAAAATGTTCAAACACTAATTCCGGAAAATCGCCGCTACCGTAATTTGACAATAGTGCACCACTGTATGAAGGAAAAATTGAAACCACAAATTCAGTACTTAAAATTTTTTCAGAAGCATGGTTATGAGCTAGCAGGATTCAGAATCAATCATAAATTAGAGAAATACTGCTTTGACTGTCGTTGTACTGCAGATGGATTATTCGTGCGTAATATTTGTCGATCGTGCGAAACAGTTAAAGCAGCAGAATCGGTAAATTTCGCTATAATCAAATTAAAAACTTCATAATTGATATATTACAAAAAAAATCACTACTAAAAAGCACAATACAGTACTTCTAACAATGATTGAAGAAATGCATCCCATTAAATAAACATTTTGTGTAACTAATGGTCAGTCTTCAAGCCACAGCTATATATTAGGGAAAAGCCTCTCATCAGAAAGCAGCTAAAACAGGAAGCGTAACCAATACTTCAATGATAGAAATTAGATGCAAATGTTCTGCCAATTTACGATGGTAAAATACATGACCAAAATTTTATTTCAAGGCACCGCACTACACAACTGATCTCCAAAACTCCAATTTCAAGCTTCCCAACGAGATATCACATTAAATTCTCCTCTTCTTTCTCTATCCACTCACGGCCACAACAGAAGACTATCAACTGTGGTGGATACAGAATTTTCTTCTTTTTGCTTCCAAAAATCTGGATGTTCTCTGGGTCTGCAACCATTATGCAGTCAAAAGTAAATTGTAATTGACGAAACTTCTACCGAGATTATGTATGATGTATGCTTATTTAATCCTATATATTGTAAAATATCATTCTACGACCTGCAACCATTAGAATGCAACGAAAGGAGGAATAAGTTTTATCAAGTAGTGTCGCATGCGTTTTAAACTTACCAAACTAACAACTCATAGAAGAACAAACCAAATTTCTCTAAGAAACTCATAATGTCATTAGGATTGTATCTATAAAATCTTATTGACTCTATCAAGAGAATACAAACGTTAAAAGTAAATGAAAAGCAGTTGTAGATAATTCTGCTAAAGAAAACAAATTTATAAAACCATATCTTAAATACAAGTCAGCCACATACCTTCATGTTTCAACATGTCCTGCATACCTACCGAATTAATCAATGACACTTTCCTAACAGAAGCAGCTGAGAAATAATCACAAACATGTGCAAACCAGAAAATATGAATAAAAAATATGAATTTATGCAATATCTTAAAACGCTCAAATATGTCACAATCAAGCATTAAAACAATGTTCATACATATTCATTCCTGTAAATCTTGTCTCGCCATTTGCATTTATTACAATTTTTCTCCACTTCCGAAATAAGTAGCTTATGCAGAAATAATAACGAGAGCATTAAGGTATAAGGTATAACAACTCAAAGTACTTCACCTCAAAAATTATTTACTTAAAACCAGGAGACAAATCAATAGCTAGTGTTCTTCCCGTTTGTCGCAATATTAGTTGTTCCTCTATCACGACTTGTCGGACTGCGAGAATCACGAGGTGGAGGAGTTCGAGATATATGTCTAGGAGGTGAGCTGTCTGAATTTGCTGATCGACGAGATACCGGTGATCTGTCTCTCGTACCGCTACGCCCACGAGAAACCGATCGTCGGTCATGGTAACGAGAGCCACTACGACTTCGCGACGAAGAACGCCGACGACGTGGTGAACGGGATCGCGAACTAAAAAAATCCACATTAGAACATTGCGCACAAGTTTCGTCATAAAATCTCGAAAGAATTTCCCCTGAAACGAATTTATTACAAGATGAATAAACAGCAGTTTATCGAAGTCAATCAGTTCCAAGACATACACATTCCAGATGATCTAAATGCTACTTTATATTATTTCACTTTACTCTGCAATCAAACCAAAGTCATTTGTGTTATTATGAGATAAGCAAATTTCTGAAATGCTCCGTGTCGCATTATATTGTGGGAAAAATAAGTGTATAGAAAATCACAACTGATTCTGATCAGCTCCTTAATCCTTAGAAAAAGATAAAATAATACTTATAAAACAAACTCAATTATTCTTCAGTCCATCTATAGTGAAAGAAAGAGAACTAAATTACTCTTCAACCATTTAATAAGGGAAGAAAATAAAATAATGAAGTCCAGTCTTTCAAGAATTCACAATCAAGTGGCACACCCATGGAAGATCACACAAGGACAAAAAGAATATATCTATAAAGAGATCATGTACAAAAAACTGACTGACCATAAAATATACACAGAATCATCTGTTATTAATGTTTGAGCTGTATGTGTCCGAAAAATCCCTCTCTCTCCCTCTCTATCACTCTCTTTTCATGTTTATGGTACAGGTTAAACCGGAAACACTGCTACACTGCCCAAAACAACAATAATTTGGTAACAACGGCAGCTCAGCTTAGCCAGCCAAGTTTCCCCTGAGATACGACCGTTTTGCTTTGATGCATTTTTTATATCAGCTAACGGCAGCTACACTGTATCTCGGTGATTAGCAGCAGCAGCAACAGCAGCAGCAGCAAACCACGGCCGCCTCAAAATTACAAATTCATTACAAGTTTTTTACTTCACTTTGTATAAAGATAGGGCTAACTTTAACAGCGTCCCGCTAAACAACGACCCAACTCGATCATTTTTACAACAGCGAGAGAAAAAAATAAAACAATAAGAAATACTGCAGTAAATTAGAGATAAAAACACAGTGATTATGAGGAATGATACAATACTGCTCCCTTAAGCAGCAGTCAAGTGCTCAGAGAGAGAAATAACCAATCAAATGTAAAATCAGGAAAATTTATTAACCGTCGTCTGTAACTACCGCCATTTCGACTACGTTCATCTATCGGACGTTCATAACGTGCCATGGCAACACGTATTTCACGACCATCTACCCACCGCCCATCCATTCGATCCATTGCATATTCCGCATCTCGTCGACTATAGAAGCGAACAAAACCAAATCCTTTACTTTGTTTGGTGTAACGATCACGCGGAATGTGAATATCACCTATTTCACCATATTTTTCAAATAAACGGCGTAAATCCTGAGGAGCTGTTTGATATGATATATTATCAATCTGTAACAACACAGTAAGATATATTATCTAATAAGAAAGGAAAAATAAACTACCAAAAGAGGACCATACACCAATGTAACATGAATGGACCTTTAATAACGTACTTCTATGGTTGCTTTCCGAAAACCTACTAATATAAAGGAAAGAGTGATATACCTTGAGAGAATATAAGCCATCTATGGATGGCGGTCCAGGTCTTCTGCTCATTTTTTAACAGCGTTCACTCCTGAGCAATAGATGATATATATGCATATGTATACGTATATATTCATCGTATTTTCAGCAAATATTCATAAAAGAGCAATGAACTTCAGAACTAACATCGCAAGCGCAAAAATCTGCTAATCCGAACACAAAACCACCAATCCCACCTACCTGACTCAAGACAAGATAGAACCCACACCTTGAGACATTCTGATAGACATGGATGCAGTGCGGCGTAACGGGTTCAGTGTGTAACTTTTACGAGCCTTCCATGAAAATAAGTGGCTCACAACGTATGGAGAATTCCCCACCATAGTACGAATTACAGTAAATGATAAATGGAAAGATGAGGGGATTGTATGTTAAAGGAGGTAAAGAATTTCATTTTTACATACAGAAAGGTTAACCGACTGACTTTGGAGCTTAGTAAAGGAATTTCATGTGTCCATTCACTACGATTTAGAATTTTTCAAGACTTCCTTGCTACTAAGCACAAAAAAATGGGAGCGAAAAAAAATTGACCTGAAATAAAAAAAGATCCTACTTACAGTGAATGGAAGTATTAACTGTTTGATGGACAAGGCACATAAGATTTTAATCAGCATACTTAGTGGAACATAAATATGAATCATAAGTTACTGAGCAACAAATTGTGGTGCTTCGCAAGCAGTTCTACGAAATCTGCATGAGAAGCGTACAGATTTTCTCTACTGGAAGCATTAATCCAGCGCAAATTTGCTGCATCATCACCTGCCTGTAATTTTTACAAAAATTTAAAAATCAACCCAACTAATATCACTTGTGACTGAAGTTTTAGAAGTTGCTCTGAAAACTATGAAAGCACTAAATAACTATAAAAGCAAACGAAAAGTCGGCATCTTATTTTAGAACGTCTTGTAATCAACTCCTTTTTTTCTAATTTTAGTGAAAAAATTCTAACTTTTAACACAATATTATTAAGGTATCCCTCTGAGTCATGGTAATTCACAACGACAGTTTCTATCCAAGCATTATCAGTATTTCTCGGGTCATCTACGTAACCACGGTATAACTCTACACCCTGACACCAAAGCTTGTCCAATTCAGGATAGTCTTTTCCACCCAGTGCTTCTTCTTTAAATTCCCTGAAATTTCAAAAACAGATATCTTGACCAACAAATTTTAAAGAATCATTTGCACCTTTTCAAAGCATTTTTTAAACTTTCGCCAGTATCCACCATTCCTCCTGGAATCGCCCATTCACCAGTATCACGTCGAGCAATTCCAACAAATTGTAATTCTCCGTGACAGATTCGACTTACTATAGGATCAGCAGCATGGTTTGGTCCCCATCTACCTAAAACACCACGTCCTCGCAATCCTGTTCGTCCAATAGGATTTAGTGGTCGACCGGTTTCGTCCAAAGCATATATTCTGATGATTAAAAAGAGAATAAAATATCACAGTTTGTGCTAGTTTTATGTATTGTATAAGGGAACATTTCTATAAATAATTAGTTCGAAATTCAGGCAGACCCAAGATATATTTTTTAGACATAAAATAAACCACCATTAAAAAATGGTAACATGAGAAAGCATGAGTTCGCATATTATTTCAACTACCTAAATATAATTAGCAACATATACATTCTATTCCAAGAACAAAATTAGCAAAAAAGTAACAATAAGATTTAAAAAGCAATAACTGATGAAATTACCCCAAATGAGAATGTCGATCGACTAGGCCATCGATGTCATTCCACTTAAACTTGCCATGATTTTGACAATCACCAGAGTCTGCCCAAGGTTTGTTGATCGCTGCTAAACTGGTGTAATCAGTCGGAGAATACTCAGGCCAACAGATCTGCCATGTGATTTTGTCATCGGGTACTTCTACACGATACACATTACTACGCAGATACGGTTTGCCTTCAAAATGCAATAAATGATGTATAACTGCAACAGAGGTAAATGATTATTTATGCAATTCTAAGACATCTGCATTACGTCGAAAGACTGAAGAAAGATTTTTATGTCATGAGCAAATACGATTAAATTATTTAAATTCCTTGAATTACGAAAAAAAAATTACCAGTATATCGACATTTATGATGCAGTCTTGCCATTGCAATTAAACTGACATTCATAATAAAATGCATGTCATGACTAGCTTTGAATGTACACATAAATCAATCAAAGACAGTACATTCTTTGCAATAAACAGAAGTCGAATCTGACTCCAGATCATAATTTTGAAGTTCGATTCATTTACAAATAGCAGCTAAAGTTTACAGACACACTCGTAGTAGAACAGATACAAAGTACCAAATGTTGTCTACTGTGAAATTAATGTAAGCATGTACGTTAAAATTGGCGGTACTGTATGTGTAATTTAATGGATGATCAACGTATTTGACTTGTGTACGCGTGAATGGGTTGTTTTGTTAGTGAAAGAACTAAGTAAATGTTTAATAGTTTATAATATTGTCGAGTTAGTAATTCTTGATTCAGCTCTATATTCAGTATTACTGCAGATACAATGCATAGAGTTTGCAATCGAAAAATTCCTGACCCAGTTCAAATATGTTTTATTTTGGATTGCTCAGAGTATCAAGTACGTAAAGGCATCTCTATCCAAATATCACTGATGCATGCTTGTTTCTAATAGTGTGCCTGTAGTAAATAAAATGCCACAATATGTTTGGTAGCTTGTTGAAAAAATTTTTTATCCAAATTGGGACTTTTCAGTTATATGACGACGATTTGCAAACTGTTTCAACAGATGATACGCTAAGCTGTTGATATGGAATGTAAAATATTTACTGCGTATTTTGGAACTATAGAAATTCACTACAATGTTTCTAAATGCCAAATAATTTTGCAAAATTATCTTCTACAGAAGAAGCTAAAGTTTGGCATAACTGGTTTAATCAAGGATGTAGCATTGTCTCATAATTATATATTCATGTTGGTACCTGTAGACTGTTGCATTTACGTTTTACGGATAGATTCGTTATTAATCTATTACTTGAAAATAGACGCTACTAAAGAGAATTGGGATTATCAACGTTTTGTGGACGCTAAGTTGGAAGTGGAAGCGATGAGTGATGAAATTATTACTGATCATGGAACAAAAGAGTTAGCACATCTCAGAATAAAAAAAGTAGAGCAGTTCAAAAAGTTGGACAAGATTGTAATCGAAAATATGCAAATTTGCTCTACTACTCGTTCCTGCTTTTTGGCCTTCAGTACGCACATACATGAGTCATCATCACTTAGACATTCTTTAGTTCGGATTTTTACTGAAGAAGAATTAATTGAGCAGCAGGGAGCTATATTGCTGGACTTACA